GAAATGCTTTGTACACAACCCCATGGATATCCTGTAAACCCTTGCTCGGCCAATCGACTTCTCTCATTCTACATTCCTACCAAGCTAGGTATCTAGGTACTTCCCGTTGGCAGCCCTCGCTTGCTACAGGTAGACAGACCTAGAATCAAGGCAAGCTACCTGCTTCCTTTGAGAAATAACTCGCCGGTGGTCCCAAGTAACTCTCCTTCAACCCACCAAGATCAACAACCAACTTCTCCAGCAACAGATTAGAATGAACCAATCTCAACTGCACCGTATGTTTTCCCGGCCCAAACTCCTTCCCTAACTTGTGTTTCTTAACCCACACACAATCCTGCACGGCTTTGGCCCATCCATCCGGTAGTTCTCCAGCAATCTTTGGTTGCTCGAGTAACTGATATGTCTGCCGCGTTCCATCCACAACGACATCGTACTTCATCAAATGACTTGGGTCGAGATCGAGTGTCATGTTGAAGTAAAGTACGAGTTCTGCATCGGACGACTCGCTGAAGACGTAGATATCATACGTGAGATATGATTCTCCCAGGTCTGAAGCAGGGTCCAGCGCTACAGAGCCACTGGAACTCAATCCCACCTCAACGAGTGTTCGATAAGGAGATTCAACAACACCAGACGAGGCTGGAATGGAGATGTAGCTGTCTCCTTCGACGAACCCAGCGAATGCTTGTGGACACTTCCGTCCCAGTACAGGGAGGTGGACCTGTTCGAAGTCGCCCTCAGCGGAACGGATATCAACCAACATCTCCTCATCAAAGTCTTCCGGGACCTGTTCCCAATCGATTATGATTTCGACACGTGCGTCTTCTTCCCCTGGAACCAGCGTTCCCTCAGTCATAGAGAGCTTGATCCAACTGCATGGTACACTCGCAGTCCAATGGATAGTAATATTTCCCCTCGTAAGCACATCGAACCACCTCCTCTCAGGTCCGTACCTAGTCATAGCTCCGAGCGTAAGACCAGGTACCAAATCCCGCCTGCTCGGATGCGTCCTGTCTGATTCCTCGTTACACCTACCAGGTCTCACTCCCTCATGTCCTTCAACAGCAACACCCATCTGTCCCGCAATAGGATTTGAGTTCTGTCTTCTCTGAACATAACAAAGACCACTAATCATATCTCTTGATGGCGCATGCCACGTATCGCCGAAACCGTAATGCGTCTGCATCATGATATGATTCCACTTCCCATCCAACAACCCATGATACTCCTCCGCAAGACTATAATCCGCGTCGAACAAATCCAGCACCTCCTTCGCCAACGTGTTGGCGTAGTTGCGCCGCTGTCGAGCATATAGCTGGTTCCTGCCAAGGGCAATCTGTAGCGCTATGAAGATATACGAGGCTTTGATGGGAAATAGTACAAGCTGGAAGATACTCGCGCGTTTATCTTCCGGGGATCGATCGTGCATTTCCTTCGCTTTCTCGAGGAGCGCTACCCAGCGATTGAGGACATGCTCAGCTTCGTTGTAATGCAGAAGGGAAAAGGTGGTTGGTTCGATATGTTCATGTTTCCTCATCGAGACAAGCCGATCGTATTCCAGCGACGCGGCACCGATCTCTCCGCTCAGCTCTGTGCCGAACTCACGCTCGGCCATGGTGTTGAAGAAGTGCGAGAAATTGTTAGCTGGTATAGAGTTGATATCCCATGCAAGAGCCATGGCAAACGTCAAGGGAATTTCCAAAGCTTTGATATCGCCGACGTTGAAGATCCAGATTTGCTTGGCGTTGCGCAGATGCGCTTCTTGGAGTTGGTGCCATGTTTTGCCCTGTCTTGGGCGTTAATTGTTTTTTGTTGGTGAGAGATTGCTGGAGGGAAACTTACGAGGGAGTTGCTGTTGGTCCATTTGTAGCTTCGAGGATGTCCCACATATTCGAAGTGGTAGTAAACCTAGCGAGTGTCAATACCAGAATCGAGAGCCAAGAATAGCACGTACTCCTGCTCCGCCTTTCCTCTCTGTCTCTTTTCCATGAGGAAGGCGACGGATATTGCCAAAATTGTCGTCAGCAAACAGAAGCGTGACATCGTCAGGGACTTCCAATCGGCCTGTATCATACTGATCCTGAACCTCCTTGTAAAGTGCAAGAAGTTCTAAGATAGATTAGCGTTCAGATACTAAATCTCCACTTCGATTTCGAACTCACGAGTAACCCCATCCTCCCGACCATGAACATCCTTCACAATACCCCTCTGCGTCCGAATAACCTCTCTAACAACCGCAGCTGGATCATCCGTGACCATCTTCTTGTCATACTCCCCACGCATGCCTAGCGTAACATACGACTCGCATCCCTTACTCCTTTTAATCCCAGTCTCGAAGAACTCGGTTATCTTTTTCTTGTTCGTGAGCCAATTCCAGCTCCCGTCTGGATTTTCCGCAAACCACTCGTTGGACATCCGTTGCATTGGTTCGTGATGAGAAGTAGATATGCAGATTCCGTATTCCTCGGCTGTTCTCTGATTACCTTCATCATCTGTGAAGAATGATGCGCCAGGATTGGGATAACCTGGCCACATAGCTGGCCAGAGGAAATTCGCCTACACTTTGTCAGGACTTCAGTTAACCAGAACGATGTGGTGATTTGGTCCACGGACTTTCAAACGCAGCAGCAACTCAAACACTTTCTTGTAGAACTCGACACCATACTTGCCGAAATTCTCTCTCACCCATCCCGTGAGCGCGGGCGCTTCATCATTGATGAAAATGCCTCGAAAACGAACACTTGGCTCTCCTTGAGTCGTGCTCACAGGCAACGCGTAGATTTCAGGGTGGAATTGAGGTACCACATCGGCCCACCAATACCATCTATTTTGAAGTCAGCCTCTGCTCTGTACTTCCAAAAAGGATATCTATCTAATGAAGAGAAACCCATACGGTGAAACACCAATCTGCTCAGAGAGCGTATACGCTCCAAATATCGCCCCTCTCTTGTCACTCCCAGCTATAACGAGTGCCCGAGTACATCCTTGAAACGGATTCTCAACCACAGCTGTAGTGTACGATTCCCACTTCCCACGAACCCTTTCCAGAGATAGTTTTCCACCCCGTTCAAGACTTTTAATCAGGGGGCTTGTAGCTACGCTCCCCAAAATAATCGCGGTGTGAGATTTGTCATCGAAGACATCCTCTTCACCTGTCCAGACTTTGAGGGGAGAAGCAGGACCTTTAGTGACGCGGGAGAAATCCTGAGATAGATTCCGTGCGGCGATATGTATTCCAGGGAAATCATCTTTGTGCACCAGGATTGGCACACCGACTAAACTGAGAAGCCCGTTCCCGTTGGGAGAAAATGAGACGAACTTCTCCTCGAACATCTTGCTTAAGGCTTTGCTCAAGTTGAAATACTTCCTCCTATTTTCCTTCAAACGGTTGAGTTTCTGTTGCTGCGGTACTTCAGTGGCTTGTTGATACCTTGAGTCGGTCCTCTGGTTCTGGTTGATGATGCAAGATGCTGTTAAAATTAGCATGCGAGCAACTACAGTACAAAGATTACCCTACCTAGCCTACATAAACCCCAGCACAGTCAATCAGTCAATCCAGCCCGATGGATACAGATACAGATCCATACATTCGGGTGCACGATCCTTGGCTTTTTCGCATTCAGTAAAAACCAGCGAGACAAGGCTTTTTGCCGTCCATTCCCAGTATTGTGTGAGTAAGTGCGTGTGTCCTAAAGAGGGGAAAACCCCCGCACCCCCAGACTTTTAGTGCCTGTGCTACAGTAACTGCAACTGACTCTCGAAAGTGGGATGGTTTCAAAACCAGCGACTCACAGCTGCTGCTTTCAGCGATGATTTGGTATCCACAACTGTTGTTTAGGTAGGGATTACATGATTAGCCCGCGTACTTTGATCTCGTGAATTGTAAAAGGTTGTTTTTGCTCGTTTTTGCTCTTGGCAGGCATCTACCGCTACATCAATGACCGAGCCTACCTTGGGTATCCCACTTTCCGTCTCCATCCGCAGAATGTGAAGATACGCCTTATTTGAAGACATTCTAAGCTCGACTTAAGATACTGTAAATCTGACTGTACTCGATGGAATTTTATTTAACATCAAGTCACTCTTGAGTTGGGAAAACTCATGTCCTCGTGTCCATGGAGCGAGGTTAAATGATGTTCCAGACAAAACACGACGAGCATGTGGTGGAGGTTTTTTCTATCATTGCAGCGATTTCGGTCTATCTAAATCGTCGGGCTATATTCTCAGGATGTTCATACCAAGAAAGTGCAAGAATGAACCTGTTCAAACAAATACACACATATCCCTTTTTGGTCTTCTGTCCTCATGGAAACAGACCAGACCACACTGAACGAAAACCGTCCGAGCAGATTTCTCAACCCAGGACAGGACGAATAAACCAATTTGAGAGTAGCGATACCACTGCTTTCTCATATCCAACGGCAAGTAAGTCAAAAAAAACTCGTAACGGAAGATTTCAAACACCACATACTCCCGCATAGAAGCTATCGAGTTTTCGGCGTTGGATGTTCTTTTGCTCCGTTTATTCAAACATAGTTATTTCTAATATTCCTCTGCACGAAAAATCATAATCTGTACTGGTCATTAGCTAGCTTTAATTGACAAACTAAATTTTCGAAAGTCATGAGTCATTGTGCTGTACTCGCCAACTTTTGATAGCCGAAGCAAAAAAAAACAAAACAAATCCATCTCATCACGCGATAATTTAGACTTCCGCGTCTCTATCAGACAAGATTTTTACGGAGAACTCCTTCTACATTAATTATTACCGTTTAGAGCTGCTTCCCTTCACCGCTCGTGTTCGAAGTTTCTTACAAATACTTTGTCTCTCTGAGCAGCACCTACCAACAAAATCTCGCCTGACCGCACATCCTGAAGGCTGAAGCAACACGGAGTCATCTCATTCTTTGCATACCTTCTGACTCACCTAAATAAACAAAGAATATAAAATAACAATCTCCTCCAAATACTCCAATAATGCTTCTGGTGGCATGGATATCCGCCCCTTAGTATAGTGGTTAATACGTCAGACTCTGATCTACTTCAGGTCCTCTGAAGTCGCCGGTTCGAATCCGGCAGGGGCGCGTCTTAGGTTTTTGATTTTTGGCTTTTGGCTTTTGAACTTAAATGAAGTCTTTCGGGCATTGATACGGCTTAGACTTGACTTTAGGGACCTGGGATTTTGAGTCTAGGTATGTGGCATCCTTTCTAAGCTTTACCCAGCTCGCCTTTCGAAGAGCTATTTAGCTGGGAATAAAATGGCCCTCCTCGAAGGTCTCTAGCTCCTTGGAGTGAACAAGGTCTGTCCCCTTATAAGCGCTGGTTTAGTGGCGTCTTGGTGGTAAACAAGATGTTAACAACCGCCCTCTGAAGAGCCTCCCTTGTGACCTGCGTACTGGCATTCCTTCTTTACTTTCAGCATTTCAAATTTCAATACAATTCCTTTCCTCTACCTATTAGATAGCATTTTCGAAGCCTCCCCTACTCAAGGCAACATCTTGTTCTGCGCCTTTGCTACTTCCACTCCCACTTCGAACCACGCGATGCAGTTAGTTTGAAGAAGGCGCGAATCATTAACATTACTCTTCCAAATTCCACTACAGTACAAGGTCATTAGAATCACATCGAAGAGTTGACGTTATAGAGGGACAGAGTTATCTCCTCAGCCAAATTTATTTTTATTTTTAGCGTGAATCCCAGGTCCATGCAAGACTCCAAGATTCAGCAAAACCATAATAGTGGGAAAATATCGCGATTATATTCACCGTTAAGCTTTATCTATAGCTAATCTTAGATGTACAAAAACCACATTCCATTTAATTTCCGCTTTCCAGCCTCAATTCCCCTCAAATACCAAACAGCGAAAGCACCTGCTCAGCCATCGGTTTGGTAAGTCCAGCAATCACATCCATTGCCGACTGTGTAGAATTGGAGTATATCAGCGCCTGCCCCAGAGGCAACACCCACGGACATGTATAATCATAATCTGCAGGATCCCCAAGATTCACCCCCGTTCTGTTCTCGTATCCCAGCCTCACGAGAGTTTTCGCTCCCGGGTCGTATTTAGGCCATCCGTATCTGGAGGAAAGTTCAGTTGATATCTCACTTATTGAAAGGTCCAGAAGGGAAGGATTGTGTACTTCTTAAGTCCCCTCTCAGGGTCTTTAACAAACGCCGCCCACGCCCCTTGTATATAAGCACCGATCTTCTCCTGAGCCGTCGTCCGTCCAGTCACATTCTGAATATCGAGATCCATGCCAAAAACCATTGGAATCTCCGATCCATGCCACGCTCCCGAAGGCGGGGCAGTAGATAAAGCCAAGTTGGGAAAATCACCGAAATAGCGATATCTCCAAGTAGGAACTTTTGTAGCTGAAAGGTTCGCTCGCAGAGCTGCTCCGCAGTTGAAGGCGAAGAGGTTCTGTAGTTTCCACCAGCTGCTGGAGAAGGATTGGCCTTGTGCGCCGAAGAGGACTTGGAAGAGTCCGATTTCATTGTCATTGATGCCTATCAGGAAGGGTTTGCGGATTAATTTTCCGGCCAAGGCACGCTCAAGGTTGTTGGGAAACACCGTGATGTTGTCAACGGCTGGTCCAAACACGGGGAGGGCTGAGATGGCTTTCAGGATCGATGTTTGATTGCGGGAGCGCATGCAGGAGAGGACTGTGGTAGAATTCGAGGGAGGGTTGCAGCCGAGAAGTGTTGCAGCGGCGAGCCAATTCGCTGCGGAATCATTTCCAGATCCGGCAATTGCAGTGCCTGATTGTGCGATGAAGCCATTGACGATGGGGTCGTGAGTCCATGCAAACGAATAGAAGTCCACAGAACCTGCGCCTGCAGACTCTCCAATGATGGTTATCCGTCTTGGATCTCCTCCAAAGGCTTGGATGTTATCTCGGGTCCATTCAATTGCCAGCCGCTGATCGAGAAGTCCGAGGTTGTTGGTGCTGTTTGGATTACCTGGAAACCCAAAGATATTGAGGCGGTAGCTTTTCAACACAGTCAGCGAAGCTCATATTTTCATAACAGGAGGTTCAATTACTTTATGGAAACCACAATAATATCCTGAGTGTCTGCAAGATGTTTTCCGTTATGAGCACGAATATTTGACGAGCCCGAAATGTATTCCCCGCCATGAATCCAAAGAAGAACAGCCTTCTTCTTCTCTCCGGATTGTGGCTTTGTCCACACATTGAGTGTGAGGCAGTCTTCGTTGAAGATATCTCCTGTTTGTCCTATCATAGCATCCAACACCTGGATCGCTGATGGGGTGAGTTTGAGGTTAGAAGAATTGGCAACTACAGCTGCAAACGACGCTCCTCCATTCGAAGGGCATGAGTGACCCTACGCGATCAGCTATGCAGATGTTTGAGAATCTGGAATAACTTACAAAATTACTACCGTTGATGGTTGCCGACGAAGTGTCGAGTGTTTGAGGTGCTGCCCATCTCAAATCGCCAAGTGGAGGTTTTGCCTGCACGATAATTAGCTTTGAACAGATTCTGCCAAGTACCATTCATATGAACAAACGTATGGAATCCCTAGGTACTCTGAAACTGAAGGTGAGTTCTTTGCAGCATGGCCTTGAACACTCCCACTCGAAGTCTGTACTGTCTGGCCGACCTCCCAATTCGAATTTCCGGAAGGAGTTGCAATAGCAGTCCACGCCAAAGCGGCAAGCGCACAAGCAAAAGCGAAAGTCATATTTTGAATCTTGATTGAGATTTTTTTGTTGCATTGAATTATGCAAATCCAAAAAGAAGTAAATAAAAACGACTTGGTCTTCCATATTTGTAGTCTCTCTACATTTCAAAGCCATACCCTCTCCACGTAAACTTTCACCGCCAAGTGCAAAAAAAACCCCTTCATAGCAGGTGCGCCGACATGATGCACGTAGCCGCAGCTGTCAGATCTTTGTTACCCAAAAATACTCCCCACCATTCAGCAGTTCATGTTTGCGAGTTGACTGCTCTGGGATGGCTTCATCGCGCAACGTCTGACCGTTTTGGGATACTGACTTAGTAATACTGAACGGGATTCTTCGTGCAGGTACGATTTATTCTCCACAAGGGGTAAGAAGTAAGCTTACTATGTCATGTCATGTCTCCAAGGCTTTTAGCGCCTTGTGTATTTGGTTGGAGTTGGCTGTGTTGTGATCCTTCGGGTGCATGGTTAAGCGAGTGCTGTGCTGCCACACCCTCGGCGCAAAACTCGTCGGTATAACATCAAAGTAGTGAAAAAGAAAGTGTGCGGTGGAACTATATAGGCAAAAGGAATGGGCAGAAGATGATTACTTCTAATAAGAACACATGTTTGAAATTCAAAATCACTGCCAAAAGAAATACATCGCAAGTTGAGCAAATTTCCAACTGGGACCACTTCCAACATCTCATCCAAACCAACCCAGCTCCTTTCTCTGAAAAGTAACTTACTATGATACAGTCTCATTACCCTTAGCAACCTTGTCGTGGCTCTTGAGCCAGTCCTTGCATCTCCTCTTATGGCTTCTCATATACTTCGCATGAACAGAGTCGACATAAGGCTTCTCTCGCTTGAAGATAGAGTGGCCTGCAGCATTAGTGCAGAACCAGCGATTTGCCTCCTCTTCATTGGTCATATCCTTAGTGCCGTTCTGTACCAACTCGCAGTCCTTATCTTTGCTCAATTGGATCTTGAGCCAGTTCACTGCTACACCAGGAGTTTCGCCTTTGTTGGGGAAACGGAGTGAGTTGGCGCAGAGTCCGAGGTAGCGGGTAAGAGGCTGGAAGTCATCGAGGGCCTGTGATTACCTGTTAGCATGTCGAAGGACAGGAAACAGGATGTGGTGGATGACTTACCTGGGGAATGATCTCAGTGTGGAGATACATCGGCAAGCTATCCTTTCTATACTTGTAGATCGTGGAGTTGACGCCAGCGTTCATGGCGCCAATGAAGCTTTCAGTCTCACTGGCATGCCAGTCTCCACAAATGGAAGGATAGCCCTTCCTCTCGAAGAACCGCGGCTTATTACTCACACACACCGGGAGATTGAATCCGATGCTCTTGCTTGTCGAGTTCCCAAAGCCCCATGCACCGTAGTCGGTAGGGTTGTTATGGGTGTACCTCTCATAGTTCTCGAATGATTCCGTGAGGAACTTCTGTCGTGTGAAGTTGAACCGGTTGCCGGCGAAGGTCTCGAACTTTTTGGCAGCTACCATAGGGATATCGTGCTGGTGCAGGTCGGAGAAGTACCATCTCCTCGAGTCGCACATGAACTGAGGATCCGTGTCGTCATGTGGACAGAAGACTGAGAGATCTTTTCCCTTGGCTGCGCTCTCTGCCTTCTTACAGTGAGCTGCTGCGTCCTCTTTGTAACCGCATTTGATATAGTTGAAGTCGGTCGTCAAGGTGTCTGTAATCAAACTTTTGATTACGGCCGTCTTGATCTCTCTGTAGACGAATTAGCCTCGTATGAAACCAGATAGTTAGAAGGATACTCACTCTTCCATATCGGAAATATCTCTCATATCCTCCAGTACAGAGCCTGGACCGGCCCAGTCTCGAGTCTTCAGCCACATGGCTGTGCTAGATGGCTGCCCGGGCGCTGGAAGGAAGCCTTGGTAGAGGGCTTTGAACATTGCCTGCCTCTGCTTTCGACCAGACTCGAAAACACTACTGAGTCTAGCAGCCAAGTTATCTCTGTTCCCGGCATTGTTGTCAACAAAGTCTCCCTCGAACTCGGAGCACATAGTTCCGTGGCCTATACCAGGACCGATGAACTGGTTGTTGAAGTTATAAACCCGTTTCAGGTCGTTGTAAGCCATCATCTCCATGTATCCAAAGTTGTACATAACGACATTGCTCCACATGATGTTCCGAGCGTATCCGGTATCTTTGACCCGCTGGTCGAGTGGCCCATAGGTGGTCAAGAAGCTCATCTTACCCACATTTGCCCGGGCCTTTTCGATTGATCCCTTGAGCTCTGCGATCTTCGACTGCATGGTTTGAATCACAGTATCCTCCACAGCGGACTGTACTGCGGTTTCGAGAGCCCCTAACTCAGCTATCATGGCTCGAGCTTCTACGGAAAGAACTCCCATTTCAGG